ATGTTTGTTTCGAAAATTTGCGCAAAACTACAACCTGTGCCATCCCTAATTTTGAACTAATAGACGAGAGGGAAGGTAGCTAGTCAACAGCATCCACCGTCAACTCTGAGGCTTGTCTAATCGAACAATGGAATTTTGCTGGCACTTTTATATTAACCACGGGCCTCAAATAAGGACTATGGTTTTAAGACAAAGGGACTCAAACCATAAACTCTCGTATTCAGAGTCCGGAAAGATAACCACGGTGTAAATAGACAAAATATTTCAATATAGTTAAGTCTTTGTGGTTATGCATGGCTGTAGACTAGAAAATACCGTTTTGACTGATATCCCAAACCATATAAATAAAGATGATTAAAATCTAACATCCAAGCCCAGATTAAAAAACAAAAAGACGTTTTAGATTTAAAAGTCCTGAAATAAGTCACTTCTTCAAAAAACTGTTAAAAGAAACAATCTCACTTAAACGTCGCTTACTTAACCCCCCCCCCCCAGTGGCACAGCGGTATGTCTGCTAGAAACCGGGTTTCGATACTCGTGGTGGGCAATGCACAAATAGCCCATTGTGTAGCTTTGTTCTTAATTACAAACAAACAGACAATTAACCCACCGAGATTGATATTTGTCAGAATATTCGTGCAAAGCTACAAAAAGTTTTATCTGTATAAAATCATTTCCAAGTGTGAAGTGGCAGACTACAGGAAATCCAGGTATTAAACGGCCATATACCACCAACTCTTAGGTTACTCTGGTCTGATAGAAAGTGGGACTTGACCATCACTTTTATAGTGTATCCACAGCGGATCGAGTTTTTTGCGGCAACGGGCCACGAACCTCTGGACTATATTTCAAGCACGCTGACCATTTATGCGTAACCGGTACAGAGAATTAGACTTCCGTGTTTTGTTTTGTTTTTACTATCCGGATAAAATCTCAAACTTGTTACTATATTTGATTAATGTGCAATAAGTAACGCAGAATTGTTCTTTATTATATTTTGTCAAGTTTTTTTATATTTAAAATGAAATTTCGTGGTTTTGTCATTATCTTTTTTTTTTTCATTTTTTGTTTCCATTTGTCATTGTTTCATATGGAGAAAAAAAAAGTTTATTTTCATTGTCTTTCAAAATTCTCTTTCCCCATTATGTGTTATAGTTATATATATATATTTCCATATTAAATTACCCTCGTTTCGTATTCACTCATTTTTTCATTATTTATTGTTACAATATAAAACCTCCATTGGGATACGTATTATGTTCTATAACATCAAGGACATTCAGAGTGCATTTATTCTATGTTTGTATTTACGTATTCAACTCCAAGCGAAAGTACTACTCTTAGAAATGTTGTTGTGAAGCAATGTTGACCACAACACTTCGTAGTTACTAGGAGACCATCAAGCTAGAAAGCTAGAAGCTTCCACTACCCACTGTGTGGAATTATGTTAATCATTTGTTAATAATTGAGAGAGAAAACATGTAAGGAAGCATGTTTTGCACATGTATTCTAAGTTGTTGACTGATGTTCGATTTTTTTGGTTTTACTACTCCCAAGTATTTTACAGAGCAGGTCGCAAGGGTTTGATATATTTGTCGAGGTATGTATTTTTCACCCCCCACAGACTGGGTATAAGGTGAATGAGAACGGCTAATTAAGTTTCATGTTTGGTGGTTTAATTACTTGTATGTGTATTTATAAATAAAACAAATAATAATAACGAATTTAACTGCTTTCAGTGTTCTTAAAACGTAATTATATTGTGCAAAATTTCAGACATTTCTGGCTCAAACTGTTCTTTAGAGAGATTGTTAGATTGAACGAACTTTTAGTATCATGGTATACTGTTTGGTAAACGGTTGTTTCAGCAAGATGACTTTCAGCGTGGTATTAATAATGTCTAATTAATAGGCGTAAACAAATCCAACGCAATAGGTGTCTGTATAATGTTTCTCGAGTTATGGTAGTTAAGTTTAATAGATGAGTCTTTATTAGTTTAAACACGCTCACTTAACCAAAATTTATCTAGTTTATTCTGGTTATCTCTGGGTTAAGGTGAGCAGACTGTTGCCCGGGGATACCAAACAACATGGTTATTGAATGGGACTACTGTTTCATAACAATATACCGTTTTTCACATACGGTTTGACGTTGTATGTATAGTACACGTACAAAGCTATACAATTGGGTATGTGCACTCTGTCTACAACGGGGAATCGAACCCCGGATTTTAGCGTTGTTAGTCCGTAAATGTATCACTGACCCCCTGGGGGCCAGTACAAGTGTGAGCCCCAATGTGGCAATAAATATGATCTACGAAAACGTTTTATAATCACAAGATATAGCTTTATATATATAGCAATATTATAGCAATTATAGCAATATAGCTTTAGTTTTCCAACTTCATAAACCCTACAGAGAAAACGCTTTACTACGGGCTTTTAGTCACCAATAAAACAATTATGTGTGACCGTGGCAAAGAAGCTTAATGAAAGATAAAAAATGATACGATATATATAGATTTGACAAAAAACAACGGCAAAAAAAATCAGTGCAAATGAGCAAGTAAACAAAAATGTGATAGAACCAGACAATTAAAAGATTTGTTTCTTGTTAAGGATAAAGCTATACAATGGGATAAATGTGCTATATATGCTGTGTCAATCGCGGGATCGAACCCCAAATTTTAGCATTACAAGCTACAGAGTTTATCACTGAGCCACCAGGAGGCATATTTTGAAGGAACATCCTTAACAGCTTCAAATATTTGTGCATTTTATTTGAACCTAATTTCTGAAGCACACAAAAAATATAATTTTCAAATGAAATTACCTTTTATTTTGATGGTGCGGTCTCTGTATATTTATATGTGCACAACAGTAAGTCTGCAGACTTATAACGCTAGAAACCGGGTTTCGATACTCGTGGTGAGCATAACACAAATATCCATTGTGTAGCTTTGTGCTTTATGTGTTTTAATCGTGAAATTATTGTTGCGTCAGCGAAGTCACGTGACTAGCATCACGCCACGTCTTTTTAGAAATGTCCTGTTCCTTCATGAATGCCCTAGCATTTACTAGACAGGTGTTAGTATTGTACATATATAAAACGTTCACAACGTGACTGGACAACAGTGTAATGAGTAATTGAATGTATGCGGACAGAATATTGTTGGCCACGTGAGACGTGAGTTATAGCGTTTGTTATAGAGCGACTGTTGAAATTAAGTGTATCGTAAAGTTGTATTCAGAAAGAATAAACCAGTTTTATTTAAGAAAGGACTTGTGTCGCTAAAGTTTAGTCGGAAAGAATTTACGGAAAATTAATTAACGAACGGAGACATAACATTATGTTATTAATTTTTTCATGATAAAAACGCCTTTATTTATCTATTTATCTATCCAACACCTCAGCTTAATTATAAGTTTCAAACTGAAAGATGAAAGTTAGAAAGTAGTTCTTTAACCTTTAGTACAAGACATGTTTAATCGGCCAATTAGTGTGTTACAGAAGTAACACTTAACAATAAAAAAGTGATTTACGTGTAGCTGTTTGATCTCCACTTTCTTACAATCTTTGCATGTAGCCCCCTAAATTTGAACTAATGCAGGAGATAGAAGACAGCTGGTGAACAGTGCCCTCCATCATTTTTTGGGACACTCGCTTGACTAAGTGGTGAAATTTCAACGTCACTAGCGCACTCGTGAACCCAATGCTAAACAATAAGCTAAGCCTGGTCATAGCTAACAAATGAGACAGCTATAACCCAACAGCATAACGTCACTATAATAAAGATTTAAAGGTCTCGTATCATGGTTTGAATTTCGCGCAAAGCTACATGAGGGCTATCTGCGCTTGCCGTCCCTAATTTAGTAGTGAAAGACTAGAAGGAAGGCAGCTAGTCATCACCATCTACCGCCAACTTTTGGGCTATTCTTTTACCAACGAATAGTGTGATTGACTCACACATTATAATGCCCTCACGGCTGAAAGAGCGAGTATGTTTGGTGGGACGGGGAGACCAGGTGAGCCATTTGGCCCGGCCTCAAGCTCAAAGGAGGTCTTAAGTTTAAACACTTGTTATTTCTTATTTTCATTGGTTAAGTTTCAATGTATATAGATCAACGTTGTGAAGAGACTAATAACGATAATTAACTGCCTAAGTATTTTACTTCTGTTAGGTATCTATTTGTTTGTTAATTTCCGGTACAATTTTTTTCCGAGGAACTTCAGCGATAC